TTAAGGTCCCTGATATTATGATTTTATAGTATAAAGGACATTAACTATTTTCATGATATCTAAGGTCCCTCAACATCAATCCAGAGAAATTCCAGTCCCAGAAAAAATTCAATCCAGAGAAAATTTAACCAGAGAAAATTTAATCCAGAGAAATTCTCTGGTCCAAACCACAGAAAATTCAATTCAAAAAAATTCAATTATGTCTAAAATTTACCTCTCATTCTAGCCAAAAAGTTCTAGAAACTAAAGAACGAGAAAATGAAAAACATGAGTTGCAGAGATAAATCTCTCAACAGCAACGGTATAAAGACACAGCTCGTTGCCTTGAAGGTGGCATGCACATAATCACCATGACGAGTATGAGAACAATCAGCATAAGAGTTGACTTGATATCTAGAGCTTCGTCTTCACCTTCTGCCATGATCAACACTTCTTACTCAAGTTTTCTTCTTCTTTAGTTTGTTTCTCTGTAAACTGTTAGTTTGATGCTTTGCTTGTTCTTGTTCTCTGCCCAGAATAAAATGTGAAGTTGTGGTTAACAACCAAGTAGACTTGTTAATTATTTAGTGCCTGAGCTGGGAGTGTACATTGAATTTGCATTTAGTTTCTTTGAATTTGCATTTAGTTTCTTTGAATATTTGACCTAAAATTCAGTTCAAATGAAAAAAAATAATCAAAATAGACGTTTTGTGAGCTAAATTACCAGAGAAATTCTCAATCCAGAGAAAATTCTTAACCTAGAGAAAATTCAGTTCCATTACCAAATACTCCTGGAAGCTTGAACCCAGAGAAATTTGAGAAATTCTACTACTAAGAAGGTGGAGAATTTTTAAAAAAAGAAAAAGAAAAAAAACCTATTTTAACCTCCTTCACTTGTGCATGTGTTTGGTCTCCGAGAAACCGTGGAAAAATTACTGAAAATTTTTAGATTCAGTGTTGTATTTTGGTTGTAAGCGGCTGTACTGATGTTTCAAATTTTCAGATTCAAAGCATCAATCAGAGCTTCGTTTGACGGGGTCTGGTAACCCTTTCACATTGATTCCATTTCCAATCTTCTTCTTGCCCAACAAAACCACCCACCTGAAATTGAGACAGAAACTTGATTTCTAGAGAAAGAGAGATAGAGAAAGGGAGGGACAGAAGGGAGTAGAGAGAGAGAGAGAGAGAGAGAGAGAGATGTGGGTGTTCCATCTGATCTCGCTACCTCTAACATTGGGCATGGTGGTATTGACGCTGCGGTACTTCGCTGGACCATATGTGCCTCGCTACGTCCTCTTCACCGTCGGCTACACCTGGTTCTGCTCTATCTCTGTATGTATGTATGTATGTACATGTCTGTGTATGTGCGTGAGAGTAGACAAAAGGAAGGGACATAATTTCTGTGTGATAAATGAGAGAGACCTTAGATATCAAAAAATAATTTTGTGGATCTCTTCCATTATGAAAAGTAGGAGAGGAACCCTAGACCAATTTTCCCTTTAAACTATCAATATGAATCTAATATAAGCCCACATAAAGCAAACTACAAACAATATGCATTAGAAACTGACGATATAAAAGAGACCCATTAAATCAATATAATAATAAGTAGCTAACAATATAATACAATAACATGATCATTATAGCATTATTATCATCATAGTCTTCTCACACTCCTATCCCATATAAACCCGTTGACTTGAACATATTTGAACTTAGAAAGGGTATTTTAAACAATCATTCTACTTGCATATAAGCCAATTACAAAATCAATTTTTTAGATTATTTAAATTATTTAAATATTTATGATTTAGATTTTTTGAATATTTATTTTGAAAAAAAAATTATTTTCTTTGTAATATTTTCAATTAAAAAATTGATTAATGTTATTTTCTGTTAATAATAAATTTTTTTAATTGAATTTTAAAAAGAGTTTGGTTATGAGTGTTGATCAAAATTTTCAATAGTGTGAAAGTAGTGTATTTTATTATGAGTTATAACAATTTGAATTAAGTTTTGAAAACTCTTTTCAAAATTCATAACCAAATAAATTTTCTTACTTCACATGTCAAATCAAACTTTCAAAACTAAATTCCACACTTAATTCAACACTCTATTTAAAAATTATAACCAAACAAATTTTCTACATTCAAATCATAATTTCATAACTCATAAACTCAAAATATAACTCATATTCTCAAATCATATGTACAAAACTCTACCAAGCGCAACCTAACATTTCAAACCACAAAATCAACTAAAAGTTAGCTCAATTATTTATTTATACATTTTAACTGAACGGTCATGTTCTCATGAGTCTTGATATTTGCCAAATACAAAGATTAAATTATATATCTTTCATTATGAGCGTGTTTTGTTATAATGAGTTTATTTCTTCCGACTTGTTATTGTGTTGATTGTGTTGAACTTTCTTATCGTGTTGATTGTTGGCATTAACTAGAACTGACCAATTTAATATAATTCTTTATAAAATTCTATTTATAAATTGTCTTGACTATGAATGTCTAATTTAATATAATTATCTTTATATTTACACTATTTATAAATAATCACATATCACTGGGAAAAAAAATTCAAACTACAATTTATGAGTTATGGCCATGTATGTGGAAAGAATGTGACCACTCAATTATTTAATATTATTATCTTTCTTTATTATTATTTTTTTTTTCGTAAGAATGTTCTGATTAGCACGTGCTATGATGTCATAGAAATGGCGTTAGGATCCTCTGAAGTGTAAATCCTACAATGATCTCCTAAAGTAGTTCATCCAAGGGCTGATATTAAGTTTCACCAAAATGACGTCGTTTTGGTGAGCAATTTAAAAAAAAAAAAAAAAATCAGAATTCAAAATATCGCATTGTTCCTGTGAAACATTGCACACAGAGAGAGAAGAAGAAACTGAAAATATTAGGGCTTTGAAAAAACAAAGTGCGAGAGTAACAAGTTAGCACGTGCTATGATGTCATAGAAATGACGTTAGGATCCTCTGGAGTGTAAATTCTACAATGATCTCCTAAAGTAGTTCATCCAAGGGCTGATATTAAGCTTCACCAAAATGACGTCGTTTTGGTGAGCAATTTAAAAAAAAAAAAAAAAAATCAAAATTCAAAATATCGATTGTTCCTGTGAAGCATTACAGAGAGAGAGAGAGAAAAGAAGAAACTGAAAATATTAGGGCTTTGAAAAAACAGAGTGCGAGAGTAACAAGAAGATAAACCCACCTCTGTGGATCTGTGCTTGTATTTGTATTTTTTTCCTAGCAAGTTATTGGGCATCAAATTGAAGAGAGAAGGCATGGAGGTGGGTTTTGGAGGGAGAAAATACTGTAACTGGCATTGGAGAGAAGGCATCAAGTTACAAGTTTATCTTCTTCTCTCTCTCTCTTTTGGTAACTTGGGCATCGAATTGAAGAGAGAAGGCATGGAGATGGGTTTATCTTCTAAATAAGATACATTCACAAAAAATTCAAAGAAATCACAAAGGAATAAAAAAGGATATATATATATATATAGAAATTCAAACAAACCCAGCTCGAAAAATCCAAAGAAATTAAAAATAAATACAAAAAAAATAAAAGGAAATATTCACAAACCCAACTCCTAAATAGGATATATATATATATATATTCACATATGTATGAACACAAACACAAACCAGAGAAAAAAAATAAAGAAAAGAAAAGTAAAACTGTTGGAGTATGGCAGGGAAGGCGTCGGTGATGGGGTGGCAGCGACGGCGACCGAGCGTCGGGGTAGGAAAGGGCGGGGTGGGGGTGGCTTCTCCTCTTCTCTCCTCTCTCAGCCCTTTTCTCTCTCCGTCTCTCTCTATCTCTTTCCCAGAAACTGAGTGAAATGTGAAAAATTTTGATTTTTTTTTTTCAATTTACTCACCAAAACGACGTCGTTTTGGTGAGGCTTAATATCAGCCAGCGACGGCGACCGAGCGTCGGGGTAGGAAAGGGCGGGGTGGGGGTGGCTTCTCCTCTTCTCTCCTCTCTCAGCCCTTTTCTCTCTCCCTCTCTCTCTATCTCTTTCCCAGAAACTGAGTGAAATGTGAAAATTTTTGATTTTTTTTTTTTTCAATTTACTCACCAAAATGACGTCGTTTTGGTGAGGCTTAATATCAGCCCTTGAATGAACCACTTTAGGAGATCATTGTAGGATTTACACTCCAGAGGATCCTGACGCATAGAAATGTGGTTCCACAATCACCTATTGCTAAGGTCTATTTTGAAAATTAGAAAGAAAAAAAAATTAACATTTTGGGTTTTTTTTTTATATTTTTAAAAAACAATATATAAAAAAATAAAGAAATAATATAATCGAATAATTTAATAATTTTTTTTTCTAATTACTAAAATAAGCCTAAATGACTCATTTATATTTTTTTTTATCTTTTTATTATTTTTAATCACATAATCTATTTTCAATTTTTTAACATCTTTTTATAAAAAAAATAAAACACTCAGCCATGGACCGTCTGAACTGCTCAGCCGACCAACTAGCACAATACTTAGGCTCCAACACCACCGACGCAGCCGCCGCCGCCTCCTACATATGTGGCCAATTCGCCGCCGTGTCCAACAAATTCATTGACGCCGGCTACGCCGTCGACTCCACATACCTCCTCTTCTCCGCCTACCTCGTCTTCTCCATGCAGCTCGGCTTCGCCATGCTCTGCGCCGGCTCCGTCCGCGCCAAAAACACCATGAACATCATGCTCACCAACGTCCTCGACGCCGCCGCCGGTGGCCTCTTCTACTACCTCTTCGGCTTTGCTCTCGCCTTCGGCTCCCCCTCCAACGGCTTCATCGGCCACCACAACTTTGCTCTCAAGTCGATCCCCTCGTCTCTCTTCGACTACAGCTACTTCCTCTACCAATGGGCTTTCGCTATAGCCGCCGCCGGAATCACCAGCGGCTCGATAGCCGAGCGAACCCAGTTCGTCGCTTACCTAATCTACTCTTCGTTTCTAACCGGGTTCGTATACCCGGTTGTTTCTCACTGGTTCTGGTCTCCAGACGGGTGGGCCAGCGCATCCAAACCCGATAATCTCTTGTTCGGATCCGGAGTCATTGATTTCGCTGGGTCCGGAGTTGTACACATGGTTGGCGGCCTTGCTGGGTTGTACGGCGCTCTCATCGAAGGTCCGAGGATCGGCCGGTTCGATCACTCGGGTCGGTCCGTTGCGCTTCGTGGACACAGTGCCTCGCTTGTAGTGCTTGGTACCTTTTTGCTGTGGTTCGGGTGGTACGGTTTTAACCCGGGCTCTTTTACCAAGATCTTGAATCCGTATAGTAGTGGTAGTTATTATGGGCAGTGGAGTGCGGTGGGTCGGACCGCTGTGACCACAACCCTAGCGGGCTGTACCGCAGCGTTAACGACCCTGTTTGGAAAACGGTTCATTTCGGGTCACTGGAATGTAACCGACGTGTGTAACGGACTTTTGGGCGGTTTTGCCGCCATCACCGCCGGGTGCTCGGTGGTGGAGCCCTGGGCGGCAATAATATGCGGGTTTGTGGCGGCCCTAGTGTTGATCGGGTGCAATATGCTGGCTGAGCGGGTCGGATTTGATGACCCGTTAGAGGCAGCGCAACTTCACGGCGGGTGTGGAGCGTGGGGGGTGATTTTCACGGCCTTATTTGCCACTAAGGAGTACGTGAACCTGGTGTACCCGGGGCAGCCGGATCGCCCATATGGGTTGTTTATGGGCGGCGGAGGGAGGTTGTTGGCGGCGCATGTAATCCAGATTCTGGTGATACTCGGGTGGGTCAGTGTTACAATGGGTCCATTGTTTTTTGGTCTTCATAAAATGAACCTTCTTCGGATCTCAGCCGAGGATGAGATGGCAGGTATGGATCTGACCCGACATGGTGGTTTTGCATATGTGAACCATGAAGAGGAGTCAAACAAGCCAGGGATCCAGATGAGTAGGATTGGACCATCAGTTCAAAGTTAAACCATTTTTTCAAATTTCAATTTCAATTTCAATTTCAATTTTTATGCTCTTATCATCAGTTAGTAGTAATTTTCGATTACTTTTGGGGTATTAGTTATTAGTATATTAGGTTGTGAAAAATGTATGTATGTAAGACAATTCTTGGGTTGGAGATGAGAGGTTGTGACTGGAGTCTTTAGAGATGATGAAGACATGGACATTCTTTTTTTTCTCTTTTCTTTTTTCTTTTTTAATTTCATTGTCATTTTATCATTTTGTGGAGTGCTTATCCAATTTTCATAGTTCAGTCCAAGTCACTCACCATTCATATTCTGAAATTTCTACGAATAAATGTTTTATTATTTAGAATGGGGTGGGTATCATTTTTCATAATATCAAAACGCACTACCATGATAAGACCAAATTTATGTATAGCAACGAACAAACTGAAATTAATTTAGATAATAAAAAGAGAAAAATACTTTAGAGTTTTAAAATATCATTATTTTAAATTTTATAAAAATAAATAAATATATAAATTTATCCATAATGAGACGAGTTGTTACATGTCAATTGTTAACTTATTTATAAGTAATGTTTTAAGAGTTTTTAATATTAAGAAATTGTTTAGAATGATTGAAATAAGTGTATTTTTTAATTTTTTTTATTAAAAAAAAAAAAAGATGTGATTTAAAAAAATAAAAAGATTAAAAAAAAATGTATTAATTTCGAAAATGTCAAACAACTCATAAATATGAAAAGAGACCAATGCAAGCAAGCTTTAGTTGCACATTGCCCATAAAACAAAATAGTTAAAGAGCATTTAGATCTCAACTAATGTCTAGTAGGTAACGTTGTAAAAAAATTTAATGAAACTGAGTTTACTATATGAGATTGATCGAGTCCTATCTCTATATTGAAAATTTTAACACGAATTCTGACGGAATTGATTGAAAATTTATATTCATTTACTTTTTATATTTTTTAATCTTTGAACATTAGAAAATACCAATGATATACATTTTACATACATATGTAGGGGTTGTTTGAGATGATCTAAATAAGTGCACTTTTTATCTTTTTACGAAAAGATATGCAGAAAAGTAGAAAAGTAATGTGATGAAAAAAAGATAAAAATATGAATTATTTGAGACTTTCCAAACTTGACCTTAGAGGGAGTCGTCTATATAGCTTCACTCGCTCACTTCACTCATTAATAATGTTGAATTCTATAAGTTATTATAAAACTTTAAAGCTATAAATTTCTATATTTTTTAAAATTGAAATCAGACATTTAGCTTGTTGCAAATTATCATCTTAACTTAGGAAAGCGTTTAGATTTGGTAGGTTTATTTTTTGATTGATTTTGATGATTTGGGACGTTCATTTTTTAGAATTTATTGAGTAGAATATTTAAGTAAAAAATAAGATGATTGAACATCGATAGCAATATCTTTAAATCGTTAATTTTAAAAAAATAAACAACAAATATAATTTCAAGAATAACTATTCATATTTTGTAATACAAATTTGATTTAAACATATAATTATCGATATCCGATAATTTTGACTTTTTACATAAATATTTTACTTAATAATTTTTAAAAAGTAACGGTTCAGATCACCGAAATAGGTTCTAAAATGAGACTATCAAGTCCAAATGTTCTTTCAAGTTGAGATAGTCAACATAAGAGAAGTTCAACCAAAATCAAAATATAATGTAATGATCAATTATAGAGATTATTTAGAATGATCTAAATAAGTATATTTTTTTTATTTTTTATGAAAAAATATGCAGAAAAGTATAGAGATAATGTGACTTAAATAAGTATACTTATTTAATTTATGCCAAATAATACCTTAATTTCTCAATTAACAAAAAAAAATTAGTTATAAATTTCCATTAGCTCAACCAAATCCAATTGATTTCTCTTATTTAACTAGTTAATAGAGGGAATTTATACACATCCTAATAGGTGAATTTATTATTTAATAGATTTTGTGAGGTATTTTTTAGGAAAAATTAGTCTAAGGTCCTTCTCTCATTTTTAGTAATAGAAAAGATCCACAATATTATTTTATGATGTTTAAGGTCCCTACAGAGAAATTTGATATATCTTACACATTCAAACCCTTGCCCCTCTCTCTCTCTCTCTCTCTCTCTCTCTCTCTCTCTCTTCGCTGCTCTTTTCTCTCTCTCTCTCTCTCTCTCTCTCTCTCTCGTCGATCCAGCTTATCGGCCACTCTCACTTCGTCGAAAACGTCGCCCTCTCTTCTGACAGCCAGTTCGCTCTCTCCGACAGCTAGGACTCCGAGCTCCGCCTCTCAAACCTCTCCACCGACATCACATGCAATGGCATTCTAATCGAGTTTGTTTCAATATTTCAAAAGCACCAAAAATATCATCTATGTTTTCCATTCAAATAATTTGATTCTTAATTGTTCTCTAGTGCATCTTCAGCATTAGCTAAGGTTACACTGTAAATTTCCATATTTTGCTCCATTTTCAAAAGTTCACTCACAAATTTTTTACTTAACATCATATCAAGCTCTACACTAATATCTTCGCATTCATTGAAACTAAACATTTTTTTAATTTTATCTCCCTTCTAGATCAAAGATCGAGTAGAATCACACAATTAAAGACTGATTAAAGCACTAATTTCTTGCCTTTATGCTTGCATCAACAAATAACAGATTATATCAGGAAGCTTCTCCCAACAGTTCTGAACTGGAAAGGTAATTGGACTTCAAGATCTAATAATGGGTCTGCCTATATATATGGCTAGTGGATATGAAGAAACACGTTCTTTGGGTTACTTTTTCTTTGATAATGTTAAACCTTCCTTGATACTCCGTGTGAGAAATTTGTGTTAAAACTTCTCTGGTTTGGTTAATTTTCTCGGCCTTGTTTAATTTTCTTTGTGGTGTTCAATTTTCTCTGGATAACGTACCTTCTCCGTTGCTTCCTTTGACAAAGGAAGTTAGCAACCAGAAATTAGCGGCTCAGTACATCCACATACAGTTACGTGAGGCAGATGAAGCAAATTTTCTTGATGAAGAAGGTGAGTTTTTCCTTTTTTTGTCAGATACCAATTCATGCATGCTTGCCTTGTCTGATTTAACTTTGGTTCCCCTTCATTCAAAAGGTTTAAAGTTACTTTTGTATAGGTTGTACTTGTACATCTTTAAGCTTTTTGTATAGTTGGGAGTTGAGATCAACCACACAATGGAACACTCTAGGAAACTTTAGGGAAATTTCACTCTAGAGGATCCTTGGTGTCAACAAATAACAGATTATATCAGGAAGCTTCTCCCAATAGTTCTGAACTGGAAAGGTAATTGGACTTCAAGATCTAATAATGGGTCTGCCTATATATATGGCTAGTGGATATGAAGAAACACGTTCTTTGGGTTACTTTTTCTTTGATAATGTTAAACCTTCCTTGATACTCCGTGTGAGAAATTTGTGTTAAAACTTCTCTGGTTTGGTTAATTTTCTTGGCCTTGTTTAATTTTCTTTGTGGTGTTCAATTTTCTCTGGATAACGTACCTTCTCCGTTGCTTCCTTTGACAAAGGAAGTTAGCAACCAGAAATTAGCGGCTCAGTACATCCACAGACAGTTACGTGAGGCAGATGAAGCAAATTTTCTTGATGAAGAAGGTGAGTTTTTCCTTTTTTTGTCAGATACCAATTCATGTATGCTTGCCTTGTCTGATTTAACTTTGGTTCCCCTTCATTCAAAAGGTTTAAAGTTACTTTTGTATAGGTTGTACTTGTACATCTTTAAGTTTTTTGTATAGTTGGGAGTTGAGATTTGTTTACCCCACTCTTGACCCATTATTGGATTTTGTAGAGTTTTTTTGTTAAACTAGGCAGTGTATAGGTGATTTCATGCTTTTCTTTCCTTCTTTTTATATATGGATGGTATTTTGTGCCTTTTCTCAATGGAACTATTATTTATCAAAAAAGAATATTAAATTTTGGTTACTTTTACACTGATTGGTGTTAATACTTCTTCAACTATCTTGATAATTTTGTGTTGCAAATATGCATGTATTTGATTGGAAGCCCATGACGGATTCTTTGCATTTGGTAAGTTTTGGAAAATCTCATTCTTTTAGTAGGTTTTCGCATAGTAGTATCTTAATGCTTTATGATGTTGTGACAAGGGAGCCTATCCTATAAGTATCTTTGCATGTTCTTGTCCACTTTACTTCCTCTGAAATGTTCCTTTGTGAAGCTGTTTGTATGTGTACAGTGGGCCATGGTAGGAGATATTTCAATTCCAATTCTACTTGTAATAGTCTAGACATCCAGAGAAATTTGAATATTAGTCCAGAGAAATTTGTGAAAGGTTCAAGGGTTTTTGATGTTAGTCCAGAGAAATTTGAATGTTAGTCCAGAGAAATTTGTGAAAGATTCAAAAGTTTTTTATGTTAGTCCAGAGATCCAAAGAAATATGATGTTAGTCCAGAAAAATTTGAATATTAATCCAGAGAAATTTGTAAAATGTTCAAGAGTTTTTGATGTTAATATAGAGATCCAGAGAAATTTGATATTAGTCCAGAGAAATTTGAATGTTAGTACAGAGAAATTTGTAAAAGGTTCAAGGGTTTTTGATGTTAGTCCAGAGATCCATAGAAATTTGTGAAAGGTTCAAGAGTTTTTTTATGTTGGTCCAGAGATCTAGAGAAATTTGAATGTTAGTTCAAAGAAATTTGTGAAAAGGTTCAAGGATTTTTGATGTTAGTCCAGATATTTAAAGAAATTTGATGTTAGTACAGACCAAAGAAATTAGTCTAGAAAAATTTGAATGTTCAAGGGTTTGAACCCAGAGAAATTCTTTGGGAAGTCTAGAATTTCTCTGGATTGAAATTTCTCTAGAAAGAATTTCGCTAGATTGAAATTTTTCCGGATCAATGTTGAAGGATCTTAGACATTATAAAAATATTAAATGTCTTTTATGTTATAAAATCTTAATATCAAGGACCTTAAAAAAAAACCCTATTTTTTATTAAATACTATTAAAAAGTCATTAATAGTTAATTTTCAACGACAGTTTAAAAATTGTCACAAAAATATCACTAATTATAAGTTTTAGTAACAGTTTAAAAAAATCGTCATAAAAAAAGTCACAAAATTTTAATTTTCAGTGACAATTTAAAAATTTTGTCACAGAAAAACGTCTCTAATTATAATTAGTAACAATTTATAAAAATCATAACAAAAAAAATTACTAACTGTTAATTTTTAACGATATATCTAAAAAAATAATTATAAAAAATTATTTTTAACTACACTTTTATTAAGACTTCAATAAAATTTAATAAAAAT